TCTTAGGATGGGGTAGGTGGAAATAGATAACAAGTCAAGGAGTCTGTTGACCAAAAAGCCCTCTCCATGTCTGAGTGCAAAAAAACAGTGCAGGCTTTCGTGGGTGGATGTGGATCACCAGGGCACCTCACACTCCCCAGACTGTCTCCACCCACTGTACACACAGTCCCATCCGCACCCAAACAGGAGGCCTTTTCACTCAGCATGGGTCTGAGAACCACACCATTAATTGCATGTAAACTACTGCAGGCATCAGCACCCCCAGCTGAGCTGCTAGCCCCGAAAACAGTGGCCCCTTCATTACACAGATGCATGGAAATGGCCCCTGCCCACAGAGTGCCTTCAAGGCAATGCTACCAACTGTGGGCTTTTCGGGTAAATGGGTGTGTCTCTGTTACCGAGACCAAGTGTGCATCAGGATAACTCTTCAGTTTTGGATACTTGAAGTTGCTGATTTTTCTTTAATTTATACAGGCTCAGTGGGGCTCTTATTAGTAAACATGGAAAAGGTCCAAAGTAAAGAAACGCTTGCCTATAGTTATAGATTATGGCACCGGTTCTCAAAGTAAGGTCCCTGGACCTGCAACATCAGTATCCCCTGGGGACTTGTTAGAAATGCATATTCTCAGGCCCCACTCCAGACCTACTGTTCAGAAACTCTGAGGGACTCGCCCAGCAATCAGTGTTTTAATAAGCATTCCAGATGATTCTGATGCTGGTGAAAGTTTAAGAACCACTGGCTTATCGCACGGGTTGTAGACCAGATTGGGTTGTGAGGTCAGTTTAATTCAATCCAAATAGGTTAGACTAGAGAATAGTAGATGTCTTCAGGGCCAACTGCTAAACTCTGATGCCTCGTGAGAATTAGAACAAAACGCCCCTTTAAACAGATGAATTAGAAAAAGGCACCCCTTCCTGACAGATCCAACAGATCCCATGAGCTTGGGGATGAATTTTAGCCCTATTGGTCTCCTCCACTGTGCACTCAGAGAGTACACAATGACACCCTTCTGCAGTGGCAGTCCTAGATGTCTTTTTCTAATTAGACTCACCACCTCCAGTGCTTAATTAAGAGTCAATAAAAACGACATTCTGGAGGGTGGTGATCTTTTGTCACCCAAGGATTAATTTTGTATCTCTTCTGAGTTTCAGTATTTTCCTGTCACGAAACTGTTTCCCTAGACAGATTTTATTCTGCTCGTTTTCACTGTAAAGTGTAACCATTTCTATCTTGGAGGAATCGAGTGTGTCTTTCAGAGCCCTGATTGGCGTTAATCCATGAGCCTCGGGTCTCTCTGCATGACTAGAACACTAATCAGAGAAGCAACAACAACACATTTCAGAAGATGGGGTGAGAGGGAAGGTAGATAAAAATAGGCAGAACCAGCTTCATAAAAGCATGGTTTTGCTTTACAAATCGGACAGTATTTTGAGAAAGGAACACAGAACATTGCCAGAGGGAGCCTGGGATTGAGTTGAACCTCAAGAATGTCTTTGAAAACCTGACTCTTCCCCAAAAGGAGGGAGAGGGAGTTCTGGCTGGTACAGATGAAACTACCTCATGAAAGTGACTTAGAAATCAGCCTGGAGTCCCTAGAGCAGTTCTAACAAGGAGTGAAGTGAGATCGAGGCAGAGAAAGAAACCTGCTAGGGGTTGCATTAGCTGGTTGAGTTTACCAAGCCAGCATTTTCCAATGCAACATTTTATGTCTGTGTGCTTATGTTCATTTTTCTTGGGAAAGAGCCCATAGCTTTCCATCAGATTTTCAAAGGAATCTGTGAACCCTTCCCCTGCCTACTCCCCACTCCCAATTAAGAACTACAGAAAAAAATCACAGCTGTAGATTGCAGTTCTAGATCTTAGTGGTCAGAATTACATGGAGAGGGCATGCACCAAGCCTTGAGGATTGGCTACTTTCACAAAGTGGAGTCACCCTAAGCTTTTTGTAGCAAGCATGTATTGAATTTATAATCATTTTAAAGGGTTAAAAAATGGTACTTCCCAAAGGATGGCCATCATTTTACTGGAGTCAAAGGAGCATCCAATCTAACTCATGATTTCTGGAGTCTCCCTGACCCAACTACTTGTTCAAGACTTTGATTTTGATTTAGACTGGCTTTAAAAATGACTTACGTTTTGGCTGCAGAGCCTGGAAGTGGAGAGAAAATAATTCATAAAAGGAAATATAGTGTGCCATTGCGCATGTTGTTGAATTACAGTATAAGACTCTCTTTTTTTGAATTTTTGCTGCTGCAATACAATGAAGGAAAGTTCAGGCTACAGATGCTTTGTTCCAACACATTTGTCATTTCCCTGCATGTTCAACTGACTTCTATCCTAAAGGCCTTTCACATACATGGTCTTGCCTCCACTTTCTGTGAAATCAACCTCCCTTCTTTAAAAATAAGATGATTGAAAGAAAATTGCTACAATAAACAAAATTAAAAGACTAGGAGAAAATATTTGCAACCTATGAGACCAACAGAGGATTACTATCTATAATACATAAAGAGGTCCTGTAAATCAAAAATTCAACAACTCGATAGAAAAATGGCAAAGAACATGAATAGAAAACTCATAGAAGAAGAAATACAAATGGCCAATTAACTTACTACTAATCACAAGAAATGTAATGGAAACAACAAGAAGATATCACATTTGCCCATCTGATAGCAAAAATGTAAGAGAGTGATAATATCCCATTTGGGATATAAAATGATATGCAGTTTGATAAAATAAACTATAAAAATAAGTACAAATAACCTATGGCTCAACCATTCCATTTCTAGACATTTAATCTTAAGAAATACACGTTACCTGGGCGTGGTGGCACACACCTATAGTCCCAGCTACTCGGGAGGCTGAGGCAGGAGGATCACTTGAGCCCAGAAGTTTGAGGTTGCTGTGAGCTATGACGATGCCACTGCACTCTAGCCCCGGCAATAGAGCAAGACTCTGTCTCAAAAAAAAAAGAAAAAGAAGAAGAAATACCATACCAGTTCCAATATTCCTTAAATCAGGCAATTAGCCCTGGTGTTATTTGTTTAAAAAAGTTTTATTTAAGAAATCTTATTTAAGAAGAGTAAATTATGACCTTTCAAAATCTATAAGTTAAGGGGTGATTATTCACCAAATTATTTGCAAAATCATTGACATACAGTTCCTTTAATTAAGAGTTTTTCTGATACACTAAGAATTTGTTTTCTGAAAGCAAAGAAGTCTGAACCTAAATTGTTAGAAGTCACTCTGATCATTGAAAATCAATCAGTAATGAAGATGAGTCATCTTCAAAAGCATAATCTGTCATCGGGTACATGTAATTAAATTTACTAAAAAATCGATTCATACATAGATTTTGAGGTAATAAATGTTGCAAAAGCGAGACACAATTCATTTTACCAGGTAACCTGAACAAGACCATATTCACTTGATTAGGATTTCCATAAATTACTGAGGAATATTGAAAATGTTTACATCATTTTCATACACATTTATGGTCTGTGGGGATATTTCAGGATTTAGACAAATATATTTTCCTTCAGCACAGCAGGGACCAAATTATCATTATCTTTTAGAAAACTACTCTACTAGAAATGTTCATTCCTATGTGGTCTAATTGGGAAATCTTTTTTCCTTTAGATGGAATTTTCTGAAATTTTGTTTCTTAATGCTTTGTTTTAAGAAAAAGGGGATTATGTTTCTGGAATGAGCAGAAATTCTAGAAAAGTATGTCTTCTATTTACCAATTCTAAATTGATGGTATTCGTCATCTAATGATCCAAAATAATAAATTTTTAAATAATGCTCTTTTTTCCTTACAAACTTAACACATATTTGATGTAGAAAATTTAGAAAACATAGAAAAGCAGGAAATGAAAATTACCTGTAATTACAAGTCCTCAAAATAATCACTGTTAACATTTTGAAATGTATCCTTTCAGTGTTTTTAAATGCAGATAATGCTTTTCTGATTAAAATGATTTCATAAAATATGTACAATTTTTTTACCTTCTATTTTTTATTTAACAATAGATCAAGGGTATCTCTCTACAGTATTAAATATTCTTCTACCTCATTTTTAATGACTGCATAGTACTATCAGTCCCCTGGGCTCTTTTCAATTTTTCATTAATATGAACAAAGCAATAATGAACATCTTTGTTGTTAAACTCTTTTTCACATCCATAAAATTGATATATCTCTAAAAGCCCATAGTCACACAGTTTAAGGCCCTATCTTAACACTGAGCTAATTAAAGATACAGAATTATTTCTGTTGGGATTCACTAGAATTTAAAAAAAAAACAAACTATAACTCCTTTACCTTTGTTTTCCAAATGACTGTCAAGCCACTTGGGGTGGGGGGGTGGGGTACTGTCTAATGACATGTGTGTATGGAGAAACTTCTTTAAATTTTAAATTTTTAGCTAAAAATGACCTCTTAGTATTTACTCCAGGTGTATTTGTGTTTAAGAAATTTTGATAACTAGACATTGAAATGCAAGTGATTGTATTGAAAGAATGTGTTATTGTTAACTAAGATGCATTTGTTCTAATCATAAAGCAGCATGTTTATTGCCTTTTGATTCCCTCGATTTTCTAAAAGAAAAGCATGCTCTTTGCTTGGCCAGACTTCTGCTTGGCATTCTTGATACTTACATTGCTTATGGACAACATTTGTGATTGATGATTTCAGGGTATACTGGGAGATCATCAGCTCAATAAAATCACCCAGGTCTGGATTTAGAGCCAGACACCACCTTGGTCCCAGACCACAGTGAATTAAATCGTAAACTTTTGGCAAGTCTGCCCTTTGGAAATGAAGAGAATCTCACGTGGCACATGGGTTGGTATAAAAAGACACCAAACCACATGATAAAGAAAATACTTAAGGAAAAATTCCAGCTGTGAATACCCACTCCAAATCCCCACCAAGCCAGTTAGTGGTCAGGGTGGTAGAAGAAGCAATTGTTCAGCATACCTTCGTTTGTAGAGAGGCAAGAAGTTCAATTCTGCCAAGAAAGTAATGGAAGAATGCCTACCTGAGAAAATTGCTGATAAAATGTAAAACAACCCAAGGAGCGGTGGAGGTGGGGATAAAACAACAGAAGTATTTAAAGTGAGACATTGTCATTTTTGTATATTTCACATACTGAAAATGGATGGGTACTTTAAGTTTTTTAACAGTTGGATTAAGACAGGGTTTCTCAACCTCGGCACTATTGGCATTTTGGACCAGATAATTTTGGGATGGGGGGATTGGGAGTCCTGTGCTTTGTAGGATGTTCCATAGCATCCTTTGCCTCTACACACTAGATGCCAGTAGCACCCCTTCCTCAGTTAGAACCACCAAAAATGTCACAAAATTGTCCCTTGTTGAGAACCACCAGATTAAGAGATCATTATACTGAAATACTGAAAAACTACAGACTCAGGCCAAAAATCATGTCATGTGCCATTTTATTTATAGATCAGTGTGGGTGGAGGTAGTGCCAGCCATCTTCAAGCTGTTAGGCTAGACTTGAAGTTCGGTGTAGACCTGCACATTGATGACATGTATTCTGTGCAAAATTCTATCTCCGTGTGCGATTTCACCAAATCTCACTTGTACCAGTGAACATCATTGCTCTGCCTTACATCCTGCCTCCTATAACAGCAATGAAAGTGTCCTTTCTGTTGTCGAATGCATTAATTTAAAGAATCTCTAAATCTATTTTGAAAGGTATATAGAAGGTAAGTATTAAACCAAGCAAACCCTGTCCCCAAAGGGATCTTCTAACGATGCTTTAGGAGATCTCAGGCTACGGCACTGCCCACGTGCTAATACTTTGTACTCACCTAGCTCACTTTACAAGAATTACCCCTAAAACAATTTCCACTCTTCTCTGTTCTAAGACTATTTTGACTTAACTTCCTTGCCCTCACTCCCCTTTTGGCTGGTTTAGCTAACTTTATGATTTACTTTTCATAAAGTTAGACAATTCCCTGCTTTTTTAAACCTCTTTAGCTACTGCTAAGCTACCATCTTTCCCTAAAGTATCCCCATTGAAAGTTTGCATTTAATAACGGAAGTTACCACCGTCTTGACCTCTTTCAGATATGACAATGGATGATGTTCGGGAATACGAGAAAAACATGCATGAACAAACCAACATAAAAGTTTGCAATCAGCATTCCTCCCCTGTGGATGACATAGAGAGTCATGCCCAAACAAGTGTACGTAGAATTTTTAAAACATGTTGCCCATCCTTTACCAAGTGCACACATAAACTTGATCTTGGAAATACTGCAAACACTCAGTTCCCAAACTTCTGCAGAAACTTATCGTCGCCCAGAGGCTGTTGGTGAAGAACCTGAGCTGGCTCTAAATTGGGCAATGTCACCTCTCTCTTCCAGACATTTCGATTCTTTAAAGCTGCTTGACTTGGGGTTATTTCGGTCATAAAACCAAGAACATGGAAAGTGGAAACATTTTGTGGTACCAGTAAAACAGCCTGAACCATAAAAGAGCAAGAAGTGAAAATAGATGTCATATATAAACTAGAACGACATGTCAGTAACTTTTAAAAACATAGTTAACACTCACTTATTCATTCAAGGGAGGGCTTCTGGCTCATCTGCTATTTTAGGTTTCTTTACATTTGCTTTGAAATGCTTTCTGTGGCTCTTTATAGCTGTTTTACCCAATCAGTTCCTTTTTACTTAGGGTAATCTCAAGATGGGGCTGCAGTCTGTGCATACACACAGGCTGAGCTGTGAAGCGGTGGTGAGCTGGGGCTGTGCTGAGCTGGATCTAGCCTGGGACTTAGGATAAGCCTCAGAGAGGCTCCGGTTATTAAGTTGCACACTAGAATTGAGAACCGACTGTATGTTGCATGCCAGCACTTTAAATATTGTTCTCTCTCAATCATTCATGCTCTGAAGAGGAGATAGAGATAGCGAAGAAAGGTATAATCACCAAATCATTTCTATGTATCTTCAGCCAGAGCTGTGATCTATTTCATCTGATGAAGCTTGAGCCCTCATGTTTGTTAGACCAGTCCCTAGAATAATATATATTAGATTTTTTTAAAAATCAATAATGTAGTTATAGGAAATTGAGAGGTACTGTTGTAAATGGATGCTTTATAATTGTGAAGACCTTCTGGTTGCACTTTGGAAATTTGTAGTTAAGTTTTTAGAGCATGTCTTTGGAATGTGCCCTGCAAGGCTCACGTGCTGCCGTTGGATGCATGTGACTGCCCTTTCGAGGGCACCGACTCCTCCTCCCCATTTTGCATGCAGTGATTGGATTTGCGGGAAACAGTTGGGGTGAGACTTACCTGAGGGGTTTCCTCTTGTGCACAGATCGATTTTGATAGGACTTCCCCCCACCACTTCCTGTCTCCCTGCTCTAAAGTTAGAAATGCTCTTTAAGGAAACTATCCTTGAATTTCCATCACTTTCAATTACCTTTTCTTCTAGGAATGTTAGACACCAGTTCCCCCTCAAACCCTTGGAAAGCTGTTCACTATGAATACGACCAGACAAAGGAAGCCCCAGGAAAAGGGGAGACACCAGATGTCTAAAAGATACTAAGCTCAGTGCTTTTCTCATTCTGAGTACTTAAGGCTTACAACGTAAGCCTCTTTTCTTGGCTTTCGTTAAGTTTTACTATGATTATTACTTTGTAATTAAAGTCAGTTTACTATGTAGAAGGTGATAACCTAGCATGGTTAACCCCATGGTTCATATATCCTCTGGCTACAACTCATTGTTGTTCCCATGACTTCAAGGGTAAAAGATGCCTACCTCCTAAGACATCACACAAAATGCTTGCTTTTAATGCTTATAATATTTCCTTTATTCTTAGGAATCCCAAGAAATTTGGGATTATTTGTTTATTTACTTACTTACTTATTTATTTATTGAGACAGGGTCTCACTGTGTCACCCAGGCTAGAGCAGGATCATTTATTTTTCCATAGTCTTTCTCCTCTACCATAATGAAAAACAGTTAAAATCAAGCAGCTGCTGTCCATCACAAATAAAAACTGCATGGGTGCTAGATGAAATTTAAATCATCGACCTAAGCAGGGACAAATTAGATTGAAACTATGCAAAATTAACATCCATGAACACAGCAATAATGAACTAACAGTCTCCTTTTTAGTTGAGCGGTTTCAAAGCCTTCAAGGAAGGGAACTTCTTTTTTTATTTTTAATTTTAATTTTAATTTTTTTTTATTATGAACGAAACCCAGGTGATACAGGAAGGGACGTTCTCAGGGACTCTAAAGGGAATGGAAAATCAAAATGCTGTGATTTGGATGATTTCTGCCCCCTGCTGGATGTGTGGAGTAGAGCAATGTATTCAGCTACTTGCTTAAAAAGTCTAATTTTTTTCAAAGATGATATGGCAAACATACCATACCCCGATCCAATAAAATTTTTCTGAGTCTCAACTTTGTTTTGAAATAAATGCCTCTTTTTAAACCTTAATCATATTTCTCAACTTGTTTAATAGTTTTAGTATTTTTAAAAAGTGGTACGTTTATAGGTACAATTTTTCTTGATATATTTGGAATTTTATATTATATCATCACAGTCATAATTTTTTATTTCCTTTATAAAAACTTTTCCCTTCCAGAAAATTTTAATGATTGTTTCCAGAAAATCCTCTAAAGGATTTCATTTTATGAAAAAGAATTCTGGTGTGCTCCAATGTCATAAGACTTAATGATTAATAATGTGTTATGAATATTCATTCCATACTTAATATCTCCAAAGTGGCTATATTGTTTCTTCTAGTTTATCATGCAATATCATCAGATGAAGTTTCAACTGTTAAATATGTGGCAAAGAATAAGAAAGAATGAACAGTGGGTCTCTGGGAAGCCAAAAGAGATGTAGAAAATCCATGCAAATTTCGCATTTTGCTTAAGGATGGGCTTTGGGCTTGACCTCATTGCTTATTTTAATAAGCCCAGTTACCTGTTTGCCCTGTTCTCAGCAAATAAAAATGGCGAAAGGTACCAAAGATAACCAGACTGACACTAGTGAATAATAACAATAATAATAGCAGAGTTTCTGAGAATGAGAGGAGAGCAAGCTGTGAAGAGTCCGAGAAGGAAACAATCACTTATTGTCACACAGTGATACGTTTTCAATTATTATGTCTCAAAGGTAATAAGTATATGTAACACATTAAATACATTAGAGAAAGGTTTACATTTTTTTAAATGTTGCTTTTACTTACTATTTCGTAAGAACATTTCAGGTATTTGGAAAATCTGTATCATCTGACAACGCCTGTTAGAGGAGGCATCACTGACTTATTTGTTGAATTCCAAATAATGCTTTCTTCCTTTTAAATAGAATCCTCACTCATTAAATGATCCTCTCTTTTCATTCTCTGTTTTTTTCCTTTTAAGTTTCCTTGAGAAATGGCTTTATTTTCTTGGCTTTGGAATAATTAGCAGGGTTTTGGTGTTGTCATCTTACATGATTTTCAAGTTGAATTTATCAAAACACAGATCTGAACAATCTCAGGATGAGTATGCAGTCAGGAAACCAGTAACCGCAACATCTTTGTGCCCTCTCAGAATGCAAAAACTATATTTATTGAATAAAAAGATAGCATGTTGAGAGCTTTGGATGATTGACCTGTCTACCCTTTAAAGGTATACTTATTCTTCTGTAATCTAAAGTGGACAATACTATGTATCACTTCAGGGCCATTGACTGTTTTAATTACCTTCTCTTTATAGAAGAGATGACCAGGTCTAATAATAGTTCCATATACCCCACACCGTACCCACAACACACACACACACACACACACACACACACTCACTCACTCACATACTCACATACACACTCAAAAACGCACAAATTTCCCCATTCTGGTTCTATACTCTCCTGTTAATTTCTTATTCAGAATACCTAAAATACTCACTGAAAGTGCTTTGGAAAATCTTGGTTGGATATTCACAAAGGAATATTGTTTTTAGGGGTGTGCCTCAGTCAAAAGAAAACCTTAGGGGTTTAGTATTTCAATGATCAGTTGGGTTTGTCGTCCAGAGAGGCCCCTTTAGGATTGGGTTCCTATAGTTCCTTTAAAAACAGGCGTAATGATGAATCCATTTGTATCTCTTGCACATAACTGCTCATTTTCCTTTCTGTTTTTCTCTTTGAAGACATGACAATGGATGAAGTCCGAGAATTCGAACGAGCCACTCAGGAAGCCACCAACAAGAAAATTGGCGTTTTCCCACCTGCAATTTCTATCTCAAGTGTCCCCCTGCTGCCGTCTTCTGTCCGCAGTGCCCCTTCCAGCGCTCCGTCCACCCCTCTCTCTACAGATGCACCAGAATTCCTGTCGGTTCCCAAAGAATGGCCCCGGAAAAAATCTGCCCCAGAAACTCTCACACTTCCAGACCCTGAGAAAAAAGCCACCCTGAATTTGCCTGGCATGCACTCTTCAGATAAGCCGTGTCAGCCCAAATCAGAGTAACTTCATATGAATATCTCATGGGGTTTTATATTTTCGTTTTGGGGTTTGTTTGTTTTTTAAAGAAACTTCTGATATAGGAAAAAACTGCTTTGTCACCCAAAACATGTTCCTTCGACCTGAGTGTGCATGTGATTAACTAACTTCACATATAACATGATCCCCTGAGTATGCCACACAGCGTCATAGTAGATGAGAGATGTCAGACTTGCAAAGGACAGAAGGAAGCTTCTGGAGCCACAGCTGTGAGCCAGGGAGGAAGCCTTGTTATTGGCCATTTGATGAGGTTGGCACGGACTTCAAGGGTAAATAAATTGAAAACTTTGCACCACTTTGTTACAAGGTGTGGTCAAATAGTGAAGTCAATTTCCTCCCATCAGACCTGAAATTTTCTAAAATACTCTCAGGCACAACATACCTAACTGTTAAATTTTGAACTGCTGATCACCAGTACTTGAATACCAATAGTTACTGAGATTCCTATTCTAGTTAGTTTGACTCAGGATTTGGGGCCTAATTAACTTCTTAAATTTTTGAAAATTTTAATTACCAACCTATAGGGGCTCCAAGTACAATGAATGATAACTTATTTATACCTTCCACAGAATTTAATAAGGATTCCATTTGTTTCTATCTTTTAATAACTTTCCCCTTTGTGCCCTGGTGGCCTCAGAAATCTTTAAGAATTGCACGGATGAATGTGACCATAACTGACTGATTCTGGAATGGTTTAGTTTAGGAACCAAGAGGCCCAGGTGAGGCAACATCTTTTATCTCTCTACAGGTACCAACAAACTTTGACTTGTCAGCTTCCATTATTCATTAAGAGTCTCATAATTTGCAGTCAATTGAACAGAATTCATTGACTATTTGCCCATACAAAGAAGTTCAAGGGAAGAGTAAGCTAACTGGGCTTTAACACTGTCAGAATGTCTGGTGCATGAACCATGAAAAAGAGAATTGTCTGCCATCCACCTCCTTATTTTACTCTTAGTGACATCCAGACTTCCCTGGAATGGATTGCCCACCACCAGACCATTATTTTGCTTCTTACTTGAAATCCAAACGCTGGGAATGTAAAAGAAATCGAGTAAACACTGTCAAGTGGGAGTAGAGAATGAGCAGAATTGCTGACTCATTTTGTAGAGTAAAAAGGAGGAGTAATAACAGATGCCCATCTGTCTAGCTTTCTTTCCTGCAAGTAGTGGTAATGCAAGACCATTCATCAAAGTGGCAGAAACAGAATTCTCCTTTGGTCTAAAGAGAGAAATTTGTCACCTCACTGCCTTTAAACACAAAAGGGAGGGCAAGCAGAATCTCAGCATTGACTTTTATCCCTCTAAGAGAGAAAGAGAACAAGGTAATTAGGCAACTCCAAGGCCCATGCCCCAGCGTAACCTCCAATCTCAGGAAAGGGACCTTCCCAAAAACACAGATTCCAAAGGAAACAAAATAGGCCAAGGAGCATATTTGCCTTTGCTCACGTAGCCTCTCAGCCAGTGGACCCTGCCTGTTCCCCTCTCTCAGTGCTCAGCACTCTGGGTGCTGTCTTTTAGGTTGATCCACTCTCCCAAGGTGCAGGTGCTGGCCCCAAGAGCCCAGCACCAAGTGTTCTAAGTCATAGGTCAGACTATCAAGATCATTTCTTTATGTATAGGTTGACATTTAGCTTAAAAAAAAAAAAGGAAGAAACTCAGAACTCAAAGGAAACCCATTGCAAATAGCTTAGATCAACAGTGCATCTCTTCCCTAAGAATGATAGTATCATAGTAAGACACCCGTGCATGGTATAGAAGCATGATTTTTGCTTGTGGGAAAACTTTAACTTTTATCAAACCCCTTGGACTTCAAATGGCTCCCCCTCCACACAGTAGTACTTAATGAGAATGTTTGGCTTTAGAAAGCAAAATTCTGCTTTCAGAAGACACTGAGATAGTGTATGTATTTGCTTACCATTTGCAAGCTGAAATCAGGGTGGGGGTGGGATCATTGTTTTCGTGTAGAACAAAGTTATTTTGTGCAGGTTGTTAACATCCAAGTTAGCCCTTAGTTTTTCCATTAAGACCATTGCGATTTCCCCGTTTTATAAAGTGGCTTCTATTGTCAAAGTCAACAATTCTATATGCTTTAGAAAGCTAATTTCTGATTTCCTTTTGTGAGTTTTATTTCTTTGATAGACAGTATAATACCACAGACACCATTTTGAAAGCTACCCATGGTAGTGTGATTCTTAGCCAACAAATATGTGTGCTCTCAATGTATGTTCAGTTTTTGTCTACATGTGCTACGTGTGCATTAAAAAGGGGGTGGGGGAGTGCAGATATTCATTTAGCTGCTTTGAATAGTTAATCCAGTCATCACAAGGCATAAATGACTTCAATATTTTACAGATCTTGGTTTTGTATTCTCCATATGTGAATTTATTATTGTAGGATACAAGCCTGCAATGAATGTGTAAATAGAACATTATTAATTCTTACAAGAATGGGAGTCAAATGGCTGCATGATGGAAATTTAGAAGAAAAAAAAGCAGAAACTTGAATTTGCTAAGCATGTCTGGGGGAAAATAGAATCCTTAACTCAGTGCCTCTGTCTGCGATATGGAAACCTTCAACTTTGTTCACCAAAATTGTATTATATCTGTGTATATATATAAAAATATAGTATAGTGAATTGGACACCACCAGTTTTAAGACTCTGATAGCCAAATTTAAATAATCTTAGAATAACACATATGTTCACCCCATCTTCATCTCTAATGTTAGTGGAGACCATCAAAGTGACCGTGAATTTCATTACTTTGGGTGGATTTCAAATATGAAATACCCCTGTGCTTTTCGTTGACTGTAGCACAGCATTCTTGCCTCAGCTGTGCTTTCCTGAGTTGAGAAAATCTTGGTGTTTTTATTGCATACACTTTGTTAAAGATCACCTCTGAGGATCATTTCATTTTCCCTCTTTTGGCTGTAGTAAGACAAAGCAAAGGAAAAGGATAAAAACGAAGGGGGCTGTAACATTGGTAGTTACCACCATTGTCACAGAAACAATTTGGGTTTGTTGGTGAACTAGTTTATAAACCCTTCTATTATTGTTTTGCATCTGTGTGTAGGGAAAATGGTTTTAATTTATTTGGAGGTATTTATTAGCCATTAGTTTTTGTTTGTGAAAATACATCCCTAAGTAGCACAGTTGGGGATGTATTATGCAGACACTTGAAAAACACAATACCCCTGAAGTAATTGTGCAGTTTTCTTTCAAGACATTGTAATAAACAGTGAACGAAAAGAATTGATTCTGACACTTCTTGATAAATCATTTTTCTGTGAAAGTTTCAGGGCCAATGTATTCGTGTATTTTTAAATTCTACTTTCGTTAGCATCTCTTCTTTGGCTCAGAGACAGCAAAGGAATAGGTCACTGGCTGGCTTAGGTCAACAGTAATTTTACTCTTGAGAAGGATCAGGGAGTAAGTGACTCTACATGTGACGTGTAATCAGATAATCCAATATCGAGGAACCGTCTAAATAGTTTTAGTACTTTTCTGATCAGCTGATTTAGTAGGTTAGAGGACAGCTAGTCATCTGAGCCATAGATCTTGAAATTAAAAAAAAAAAATCTGTCCAGTGACTGCAATTTGATCATGAATAAACTATTTGAAACTATTCATTCTTGCTGAAACCGAAGTGTTACACAATAGCACAGCGTTGGCATGCTGAGGCAAAACATTGGGTTCTTCTGTGTTCTACCTTCAAAACAATCTGTTTGCATTTGAAATAATTCTGTAATCTTTTTAGGAGTTAGTGCAATAAGAGAATGAGAGTATATCAGGAATTTTTTGGATACCATTATTAATTGTAATTTTGTTGTTAAATTAACATGCTTTAGGATAAGCCTCTAGGTGTTTTTGCTTTAAATTGAGAGCATGTCTGCTGAATTGCAAGTCTCCCTTCAGTTTCTATGTATCACCAAGAAGAGGTTCTTTGAGTTGATGTTGTACCTGTACCACTTATATGTAGCTTCGAGTGTAATTACCAGTGTTTATGTTGGAGCTGGGATCTGGATTGGTCGCATTAGTCAATATACCACTGCCACTGCTGAAGGACCAAGTATTGGAATGCACAGTGTTATAGACTACAAGCAAAGCAAACAAAGTTGATCCTCACTTATGCCATCCTTTTGTGTCATTTTATCGCTGTTCCGTGTTTTCCCCCCAGTTATTTATTATTGTTAATAACTTACTTTTTCTTACATTCTGTTGTAAATAAAATACAAAGCAATCTTCTTTCCAAGTGTAGCTTCCTCCCTCCCTCCCTCCCTCCTTCTCTCTCTCTCTTTCTCTCTTTCTCTCTCTCTCTCTCTCTCTCTCTCTCTTTCTCTCTCTCTCTCTCTCTCTCTCTCTCTCTCTCTCTCTCTCTCAGCTATCCTCAAGGGAATACTGGCAATTGTTAACTTGTGGGCTGATGGAAAGAAGCCATAGAGGAAGAAGTAACAAGTCAGTGGTCGAGACTTAGACACAGTTCTAGGCGACTTGTGTGCAAGGAAGCCCTGCCTGCTAATAGGCACGTGGTACCTTCAGGGCCAGGGCCCTTGGTAGGAAAAGTCTGGGTGTCTGATCTAATTATCCAGCCAAAAACTACCCAAGGTGAATCCATAACCCAGTGGGATACGCACATAGGTTCATCCATCCATCCACCAGGAGCTTGGTTCCCCCTCATCAAATGTGAGGCTACACACACGCCCCGAGGGAATCTGTAGAAACACCACCCCTGTGGGACACCGGGTTCTCTCGGTTGGATCAGTTTTAAGGTGATGTGATTTCTCCATCTCAAGTAACTCCTGTTATTCACAGAAGGGTCCTCTGGGGATGGGTAATGTGAGGATAGAAATGCTTTATTGCCCTTTGCTTATTAATCTCCTCAGAGCTTAAGCAGCAAACACTCCTCTCAGTCTATTCTCTCCTCTTGAATCATGAAACTGATGTCGATGTTACCGGCCCCCAAGTAGAGGTTTTTCCAAGTTCATGGTGATCCTTGAGAAAACAATTTCAGGATGTGTGATGTAAGCCAAGAAAGGGACAGCTTTTTATTGAAAGCGAAAGTACACTCAGGAGAGAGCGCGGGCAGGCTGGGAAGAGCACCTGCACTGAGAGGAGGTGGTTTTAGATCTTTTCTAGTTTTCCTCATAGAGGGGAGAAGTATTCAAGACCAAGGAGTTGGCTTTTACTAAGAATTCAGGGAACAATTTCTAGAATTGGGTTCCCTCCCATTTTCACGCTTTATATGGTTGTCTCAGAACTGTCATGGTGATTTCAAGGGTGGAGAAATTTTAAAACTACAATGTAAATGATATTGTAATTAGCCGAAATTCATGTAAGGTCACAGAGAGAGCTGGTAAGCCAGAGGAAGCTGGTTGTTGCCTGTGATTGTCAGCCCCTCTAGTCAGCTTCTGCCTGAGGGTTGTTTAACACCTGCACCCAACCTTCAAGCCCCTGCGTCTAGTCTCCCTCTCTCCTAGTCTCCCACTCTGACATCGACATCCACATCGTGTGTTCTAATCCCTGATTGGATTGGGCGCACAGCTTCGCATAACAGTGCACCCTCAGTAGGTTTTCTTTTTAACATCAGCAGTTGAACATGGAATCAGTAGGTTTTCTATGCTGAAAATTTTCCTAAAATCATGTAACATCAATCCAATTAACAAAAACATGCTTTTGTAGCTCCAACTTCACCCTAACCACCCCCACCCTCCCTTTAAATTCTCTATTCAAAACACACAAACTTCCCACACATAGTTGTTGGCTGACTTTCAGCCAGCGAACTTGGGTACATCCAGGCTGGGTATATTACTGGGGCCAAACTATATGGGTTGTTAAATATTTGGATGCCTAATATTAAATACATAAATGTTTGCAACACCCCCAATTTCCCAGCAGAGCTTTTAATCATTTAAACCTTACACTTAGGCTTCTGATAACCCACATTCTTTTCTGTAATTTCCTTATCTCCTTCATTACATTCCACTTGGGGTTTCTTGCCTCTGACCTCCAACTACACCCTGGCCTGTCAAGTTCGGGATACGTCATGTGTCCCTTCTCCAAGCATGTTCTGAATATCCCTATATGAAAATGTCACCCTCAAACCTGAGGCTTTGATGGCTCTGGAACAACAATCAATACCTGTGTGTGTATAGACATTCTGGTGTGTATGTATTTAACTCAGTGTGGTTGGTCCAGACCCTGTTTTCAGACTTGCAGATTGACTTTCTCTGCTTAACTTACTGGCCCTCTGACATTCCATGCTCCCATAAATTCTCCCTATTCCACAATGTTCAACCTAGTAGCACATCCCATTCAAATCCAAATATTTAACGACTTCCCTGCTCCTGGGAAAGTTGCAAACTTGCTTTTGCTGTTCCCAACACTGAGAGATTGAGCTAATCTGTAGCTAAAGAAACTGGACATGACCTCAGGACCTAATGAATCTGGCCATTGAGTGCAGCAACATTAATGGGCTGAATTAAGCACCTGGAATTTAAGGGATAATTATATTTAACTGTAAGTACCAACTTTCTGCACTGAAGGCAGACACAAAAGGTGAGATCATCACGTCCCATCCTTTGACTTACTGAAAGGAGTTTTGACCCCTCTGTCATTGGAGGGTATTTGAGGGTTGCCAAATCTGGACTTTTGGGATTTTTTTTTAATTTATTCCAAAATAACTTTCTTGCTCCCAGGGGATTCTACATGCAAGATGCTGGCAGTTTACTGCTCGTTTAGCAACCCTTGGGAATCATTTTTTGCTCTTAAGCACACAGTGATTATATTCAGAGCATTCCGAAGACAGCTCACTGCTCTCTGTGCAGTATACATTAAAGTCAGTCCTCAGTACTCAATGTGTATTTTGCCTCTTTTCAGAACACAACTTAAATATTTCGAAAAATTTCTGCAAGTTTGAATTTTCCCTCTGTCCTCTTTAGAGTTATTCTATTTCTTTGCATTTTGTTAAAATCTATTATATAACCCCAAGGATGTGACTCTTCAACTTCATTATGTACTTTAGAATTTGCTCTTTCTTCTGCAGAGTGAAACTCACAAATGCGTATCTTTCTACAAGGTGCTTTGAGGATTTTGAATTGTTTTATAGACACCTCTACATTTGATGCATAACAAGTTTATCATTTGTCACAGCCATGTAATATTCCATTGGGCTGAAAATCCATAATATATCTAAACATTACTTTATTATTTAGCATGCGGTTTATTTTCTGGATTTTATTATTATATAGAGTGCTGTTAGAAACATCTTTGTAACATAGTTTATGTCTTCTTTTTAATTATTTGTTTTGGGTAAATTGCCTGAAATTGAATTACTGGGTCAAAAGATGTGAATATTTTCATGACTTTAAGTACTTACTGCCAACATCCCCTCTGAAGAAAATTATACCAATTTACAATTCCACTGACAATATGTGAGTCAGAACATGTGTCTTTTTAAGGAAATATTTGCAGTTTTAAAAGTTCAATATTCTGAACTTGGGAAGTAATCGCCAGGATCTAATTCCCATAAAAGTCCTTTGTTATTTTAATGAATTAATAGGCCAAATACCCTTATTTTGGGTAGTTATGTGATAAAGGGAGAGCCCAGATACAGAGAAGCTCTCTTATTTATGTAAATATTCAGTGCCTCTCCAGCTTCATAACCGTATTATTCAGAATAGCTAAAAAAGTGGAAACAACTCAAATGCCCATCAGCTGAAGAATGGATAAATAAAGTATGGCATTTCTATACAATGCACCATTATTCAGCAATGAAAGGAATGAAGTGTGGATACCCACTGCAACCTGGATGAACCTTGAAAATTATGCTAAGTGAAAGAAGCCAGACACAAAAGGCCACTGACTGTATAATCCCATTTATGTGAAGTGTACAGAATAGGTAAATCTATAGAGATGGAGAGTAGATTAGTGGTTGTTTGGGACCGGGGTGGGGGTGGGGGAATGTGGGACGGGCTGCTAAAGGGTATGGGGTTTCCTTCCGAGGTGGGTGCGGTGGCACGTGCCTGCAGTCCCAGCTGCTCAGGAGACAGATGCAGGAGGGTCGCTTGAGCCCAGGAGTCTGGGGATACAGTGAGCTCTGATTGAGCCACCGCACTCCAGCTTGGGCGACAGAGCAAGACTCTGTCTCTAAAAAAAAAAGGTGATGGAAATGTACTAAAATTGATTGTAGTGATGGTTGCACAGCTCCGTGAATATACTAAAAACCATTGAATTGTACCCTTTAGAGGGGTGAATTGTATGGTGGATGAATTATGCCCCAATAAAGCTGTTACAAAAAGAAAAGAAAGGAAACCTAGGGAGGGAACTCCAGCTGCACCCCCTGAACAACAAAGTTCATCGGCCTACACGCACGCAGAGCTCACCCAAACATGAATCACTACCTGCCGCCTCTGCTTCCTCTGACTTCCGCAGCGTGCTTTCCCTCGCCTTTCCCCACACCCCCTGTGACCACACTGATTGACATGGCCAAGGAACCCCAGCTGCTAACCCTAGGCTGATGCTCAGGATGGATTCATAGTCACGCTTCTGGCTAATTTTCAAGATCTCACTCATTCATCCCAATGAGCATTTATTTAGAATCTATGTTCTGCAAAGCACTTTGAAGAAAATAAATACAGCCCTTGTCCGCAAGTTGCTTACAGCCTAATAGGAGAGAGAAAACTGTCATTTAGGATTCTTTCAGTTGATATGAGAAAAAACCAAAAGAACCATGGCTGTAACAAGATAGAACTTATTTATCTTACACAAAATAGAAGCCTGGAGGAGGCAGTCCAGGGCTGGTCCTGAAGTTCCTTGGGGTCACTGAGAAAGTAGGCTCTTTGTCTTTCTGTCTTGTTCTAGCCCGTGATTTCCCATCCTAAGGGCCCCTCCCTCCCTCCCATCCTCCCTTCCTTCCTTCCTTTCTCTCCCCATTCCTTCAACAAGCATTTATCAAGCACTTACTGCATGCCATGGCACTACTCTAGATGCTGAGGTTACAGCAGAGAATAAACAGACAAGAACATCTATCTTCCTGGAGCATACATTCTATTAGGTGGAGAGAGTCAACTAATAAAATAAATAAGTAATCTGGGTGTGATGGCGCATGCCTGTAACCCCAGCACTTTGGGAGGCTGAGGCAGGAAGATCATTTGAGCCCAGGAGTTTGAGGTTGCTGTGAGCTAGGCTGACGCCACGGCACTCTAGCCCGGGCAAAAAAGTGAGACTCTGTCTTAAAAAAAAAAAAAAAG